AGGGAGTCAAGTCTGAGCTGCTGATCTTTGCTGTCATTGCCTGTCATTACAAACCCAAAAAGCAACTTCCTCCCCGGAGGAGAGACATTCTGTGGGCCACCTTCCCACATGCAAACACACAACCTGAGGGGTCCAGGGTGCCCAGGTCAGGAATTGTGTTTGTTTGTTTTGAGACGGAGTCTTGCTCTGTCACCCAGGCTGGAGTGCAGTGGCCGGATCTCAGCTCACTGCAAGCTCCGCCTCCCGGGTTTACGCCATTCTCCTGCCTCAGCCTCCCGGGTAGCTGGGACTACAGGCGCCCGCCACCTCGCCCGGCTAGTTTTTTGTATTTTTTAGTAGAGACGGGGTTTCACCGGGTTAGCCAGGATGGTCTCGATCTCCTGACCTCGTGATCCGCCCATCTCGGCCTCCCAAAGTGCTGGGATTACAGGCTTGAGCCACCGCGCCCGGCCAATTGTTGTTTGTTTTTAGAGATGGGGTCTGGTCTTGCTCTGTTGCCCAGGCTGGAGTGCAGTGGTAGCACTGTGAGCATGGTTCGCTGCAGCCTTGACCGCCCAGGCTCAAACCATTTTTCCATCTCAGCCTCCCAAAGTGCTGGGATGATAGGCGTGAGCACTGTGCCCAGGCAGGAATTGGGAAACGTCACTGGGAACACCACAGCATTGGTTCGGTCAAGCCCCATGGGCGGTGCTACTGAGCTGCAGGCTCCATTACTACATGGGGTAGAGCTCAGGGCTCCTTGGGCATCAGAAGCCTATGATTTTGTACCAGCCAGACTGGAACAAGGCTGGGCCTGTCCCTATGTTTAGAAACATCTTGTGTGTCGGGAGAGAGGGCCCCACATTCAGGAGCTGCCATTGATGGCTTCAGGTGCAGAATGGCTCTAGACTGGCCATGTCTACTAGTGTGGGTTTTTTGTTGTTGTTGTTGTTGTTTTTTTGTTTTTTTTTGAGACGGAGTCTCGCTCTGTCACCCAGGCTGGAGTGCAGTGGCGCGATCTCGACTCACTGCAACCTCCGCCCCCAGGTTCACGCCATTCTCCTGCCTCAGCCTCCTGAGTAGCTGGGACTACAGGCGCCCGCCACTGCGCCCGGCTAATTTTTTGTATTTTTAGTAGAGACGGGGTTTCACTGTGTTAGCCAGGATGGTCTCGATCTCCTGACCTTGTGATCCGCCCGTCTCGGCCTCCCAAAGTGCTGGGATTACAGGCGTGAGCCACCGCGCCCGGCCTGTTGTTGTTGTTTTTGAGACAGAGTCTCACTTTGTCACCCAGGCTGGAGTGCCAGTGGTACAGTCTCAGTTCACTGCAACCTCCACCTCCCAGATTCGGGTGATGGTCATGCCTCTGCCTCCCGACTAGCTGGGACAACAGGCATGCACCACCATGCCCGGCTACTTTTTGTATTTTTAGTAGAGATGGGGTTTCACCATGTTGGCAAGGCTGGTCTCGAACTCCTGACTTCAAGTGATCTGCCCGCCTTGGCTTCCCAAAGTGTCAGGATTACAAGCCTGAGCCACTGCGCCAGCTATTCTTACAGTGGGTCAGAATAGCAGCTGCAGATGCTGCTGGACTCAGGAGGACCAGGTGACAGTCTGGCCAAGCAGCGGTGCTGGGTCTGGAGGCCAGAGGGAGGATTACACCCTCCCCACCCCTCAACCTCCTGGGGTCTAAGGTGTTCCCTCCCCAGGTGCCGGGTTGTTGCTCTCCCTCCAAGGACATGAAGTCAGTCTGTATCCCACCCCAGGAAGTACCGCTTCACCTCTTCTTTCACCATCTACTCACACCCAGACTTGTTTTTGGAAGTCAGATGTGAATGGAACATGGGCATTTTTACAAATTGACAGACTTACGCTTTCCCTCACGTTGTCTGATGTGGGACACTGTAGGGAGACTTGGCAAACAGGACACTCGACCAAGTGGCCGCTGTCTTCGGGACCTAGGAAGAGTGAGTCCAGGAGAGTCCCAAGGGCAGAACATGAACTAACGCCAAGCCCCATAGGTCCCGTTCCGGTGGGCCTGCCCTCTGGAGGCTGCACCCATCAGGCAGGCCTGCGCTTAACACTGGGGGAAGAAAGAGGCACACATACCCAGGAATGATTATTTATTTATTTATTTATTTATGATGGAGTCTTGCTTTGTCGCCCAGGCTGGAGTGCTGTGGCGTGATCTCAGCTCACTGCGAGTTCCACCTCCCGGGTTCATGCCATTCTCCCGCCTCAGCCTCCTCAGTAGCTGGGACTGTAGGCATCTGCCACCACACCCAGCTAATTTTGTGTATTTTTAGTAGAGACGGGGTTCACCGTGTTAACCAGGATGGTCTTGATCTCCTGACCTCATGATCCGCCCGCCTCGGCCTCCCAAAGTGCTGGGACTACAGGCGCGAGCTACTGCGCCCGGCCTGTTTATTTTTTTGAGAAAGAGTCACTCTGTCACCCAGGCTGGAGTGCAGTGGTGCAATCATGTCTCACTGCAGCCTCGATCTCCTGGGCTCAAGCGATCCTCCCACCTCAGCCTCCTGAGTAACTGGAGTGCAGCCATGCATCACCATGCCTGGCTAATTTTTTTTTGTAGAGTTGGGGTTTTGCTACGTTACCCAGGCTGGCCTCAAACTTCTGGATTCAAGTGATGTACCTGCCTCAGCCTCCCAAAGTGCTGGGATTACAGGCATGAGCCACTGCACCGGGCCCCAAATGTTTATGAGTTTGTATAACCCCCAAGCCCTTTGTCCTGATCTTTACCCAGGAGATGGCCTAGGGGAACCCTTTCTGGGGAGAGCCACACTGTCTGCCTTTCTCAAGTGTGTGGACCAGGAAAAAGGCGAGTGAGAAGCTCCGAGTTGATTTATATTTTCGGTGAGATGATTTTTTTCAGGCTGGTCAAGTGAAGCAGCAGAAGGAACAAATAACTCTGTTAACTGGTTGTGATCAATTACTCGTCACACCACTGCACTCAGACAAGCAACAAGTTGATTTTTTATAAAGCCCATTTCACCTCTCAACGGTGCCAGCAGCCCAAGGGTGACAGGGATGTGAAGTGGCCACTGAATGCCTTGGCCACTGACCCACTGTTGGGCAGCCTTTGCAACAAAAAGAGGGCCTTTGTCAGGCCATAAAAGGCCCCAAGAGTTGAACACATGACACAGCTGAGCTTCAAGGGCCGCAGCGGCAGCAGCCTGAAGAGTGTCTGCTGCGGTGAGGCCCACCAGTCGCCCTGGAAAGAGTCCAGAGGCCCGGATGGAGTCGAGCTGCCAGGAGCAGTGGGGCCAGGGCCTCCCTTGCCGCAAGAAGAAAGAGGCAGTTTTAGGCAGGAGAAACAGGTCACAGAGCAGCAGCTTCTGCACTAGAAACATATAAAGGCTCATTGTACTAGAAACCTACAGAAGCTCAACTGGGCTTCAGAGAATTCCCTTCATCTAACTTCCTATTATGGTGGAATTAAGTGATTCTCAAGTTTTTTTTGTTTTGAAACAGAGTCTTGCTCTATCACCTAGGCTGCCGTGCAATGGCGCAATCTTGGCTCACTGCAACCTCCGCCTCCCGGGTTCAAGCAATTCTCCTGCCTCAGCCTCCCGAGTAGCTGGGATTACAGGCGCCTGCCACCACACCTGGTTCTTTTTTTGTATTTTTAGTAGAGAGGGGGTTTCACCATGTTGGCCAGGCTGGTCTGGAACTCCTGACCTCAGTCTCCCAAAGTGCTGGGATTACAGGTGTGAGCCACCGCACCCAGCCAATTCTCAAGTTTTTGAAAAGTTCCAAAGGCACAACTTTTTTTTTTTTTTTTAACATGACCAAGATAGGAGACAGCCTATATTGGAGTTGGTGGAGAAAGGCTCCTGCCAGGCAGAGGCGCATGTGCGGACTTTGCAGGCTTGCAGGGGTTAGGGGCCGCACTCACAGTGCTGCAGGTGGAGAGGCTCCTAACTCCCAGGACCTCTTTCCCTGGGCCACAGGCTCACCAGGACCCCTGGTGTCTGATCTGTCTGGGATGTGTTAAGTAGATTCCACTTGTTCACCAACCCTGAGCCAGCTGCAATGGCCACTGGAGAGCAGGCTGAGGCCTGCGGGGCTTAGCTGGGAGGACACACCACGATCCCTTTGCAGCATCTGCTGTAGGTGAGGGAGGTGGGGCAGGAGCAGATCAGCTATTTGCTCAATTTGCTTCTGGAAGAGATTTTTAAGCCCTAAGGGATTTCTAGGAAGGGCCAAGGGATGAGTTCTTTGGTTCCAAGCAGTCGAAAGCACTATCTGGCCTGTGGCACTGCACCCGGCCACTCGTCCTGTGTCTCCAAGGCCAGCAGAGTCCAGCCTGACCTCATGGGGTGCCCAGATGCCTGTACCCCAGGACCTCCTTGTTGGAATGGAGGAGGGAGAAAAGGGGCTTCTAGAGTCTAGTGTTGGGAAAGGAACACCCACAGGTGGCAGCAGAATTGGGCCTGGAGGACAAATTCAGCCGGGCAGTGCGCTCTGTCCCCGTTCCCACACAGGGGCATGTGGGAGACGTGACAGAAAAGCCCAGTGCAGGCAGTGCAAGGCCTGACCTAGAGGGCCCTCCCACCACCCCTCCAGGATGCAGAGAGCACAGAACCATGAGAGGAGAAGCATCATGGACGCCACAAGGACTCGGTTAAGCCCCTCCAACCCGGGAAGGTCTTGGTCCTCGAGGCCTGGACAGCATGCACCCTTCCTGCGCCCTCGAGGGCAGTGCTTCAAGGTGTGGGCTACAGTCCATAGTGGAGCATCAAGATCAGTGCAGAGGGTTGTAGCCAGAAGTTTTACAAAGTGAAATAGAGTAAGAAAATATCAGCGTTCACAGGTGGTGAGGCTAAGTGTGGTTTGGTGAAAGTTCACGGGCACTCAATAATAGGACATTTATTTCATCTTGTGGATTCATTCAAAAAGATCTGAAAGACGCTATTTTGAGGGGTATGTTTCTAGAATGGGACACCTCAGATAATGTCTTGTAATCGTTTTGGTAGGGCTGAAATTGGGACTCCCATAAAGAAAGTACATGCTGAAATTTATTTTAAAGGGGAAGATCCCCTTTTATTAAACTTGTACATTTTACTTTCCTTCTTTCAGAATGCTAATAAAAAACATTCGTTTATACTTAAAAAACCCATAAATCAGACAAACAAAAGAAATGGTTCTAACATCACTTTTGTGATGAGAAAACAGGCAATGGAATTCAATATAAGCAAAGAAAACTCTACCTGGAGGGAAGAAATCTATCAGCGAGGAAACAACTCGGGGCTGCTGCCAGACCACCGGCCATGCAAGGAGGAGCCTCCTAGAGAATATCCGAAGCAAATCCACCCCTGCCAGACCAGAAAGCAGCCGTCCTACCTCCCAGAGAAACAGACCTCAGCCCTAATGATCGCACAAATCCAAGTCAATCGCTCTATTTAAAAAAAGCACGCACATAGTCTCCCCTTCCTTCCCCAGTCCTCTTGGTGACAGGGCGGTCACAGGACATATGTGTTCTTCACCAGCTGCTCCTTGTCGTCTCCGGAGCTCCAGACAGTGCGCAGGGCACGCTCCTGGTTCCTCCGTGCCACCCGGATCAGGTAGACCATGGAGGCTCCCAGGAAGAGGATCAACACCATCACGAACAGCCCCGCCAGAACCACCACTGAGGACAAGAGAGGGGCCTCAGGATGGGCCAGGCAAGGGGAGCTGCAGCCAGAGTGGGGCTCACCAAGGGCCTGGGGAATCCAGGTGGGCTCAGGCTGAGGACCAAATGCCCCTCCCCAACCCAGAGAGGGTACAGAACTGCAGCTGGAGAGGACACAGCCTGCCAGAGATGCCATCAAGGAGATTCCCCCAAAAAAGGAGGTGCCATGCTATGTGTGTGCCAGCAGAGTGGCCGTCTGTGTTCCTTCTTTTTGAACTAAAAGCCCAACTCTTGGGTGTTGCGGAAAGTCAGGGACCCCAAACGGAGGGACCTGGCTGAAGCCATGGCAGAAGAACATAAATTGTGAAGATTTTATGGACATTTATTAGTTCCCCAAATTAATACTTTTATAATTTCTTTTGCCTGTCTTTACTGCAATCTCTGAACATAAATTGTGAAAATTTCATGGACACTTATCACTTCCCCAATCAATACCCTTGTGATTTCCTATGCCTGTCTTTAATCTCTTAATGCCGTCATCTTCGTAAGCTGAGGAAGAGGTATGTTGCCTCAGGACCCTGTGATGATTGCGTTAACTGCACAAATTGTTTGTAGAGCATGTGTGTTTGAACAATACGAAATCTGGGCACCTTGAAAAAAGAACAGGATGACAGCAATGTTCTGGGAAGGAGAGAGAACCTTAAACTCTGACTGCCAGTGAGCCAGGCAGAACAGAGCCACATTTATCTTCTTTCAAAAGCAAATAGGAGAAATACGGCTGAATTCTTTTTCTCAGCAAGGAACATCCCTGAGAAAGAGAATGCGCCCCTGAGGGTAGGCCTCTGAACGGCCACCCTGGGGGCAGCTGTCTTTCACAGCCAAGGGATGAAATAAGCCCTGGTCTCCTGTAACGCTCCCAGGCTTATTAGGACGAGGAAATTCCCGCCTAATAAATTTTGGTCAGACAGGTTGTCTGCTCTCAAACTCTGTCTCCTGATAAGATGTTACCAATGACAATGTGTGTGGAAACTTCATAAGCAATTTTAATTTCGCCCCATCCTGTGGTCCTGAGATCTTGCCCTGCCTCCATTTGCTTTGTGATATTTTACTACCTTGTGAAGCATGTGATCTCTGTGACCCACACCCTATTCATACACTCCCTCCCCTTTTGAAAATCGCTAATAAAAACTTGCTAGTTTTACGGCTCAGGGGCATCACGGAACCTGCCAACATGTGATGTCTCCCCCGGACACCTAGCTTTGAAATCTCTCTTTTGTACTCTTTCCCTTTATTTCTCAGACCAGCTGACACTTAGGGAAACAGAAAAGAACCCAAGTTGAATATCGGGGGTGGGGTTTCCCCCGATACGTGGGGCAACCTGCACAGGAGCCCCAGGCCAAGAGATGCACAAGGGTGTAAAAAACATTTAGCACGGGTGTGTACACATGAAACCTTAGGGGCTTTGTGCAGACACACGCTGACTGGCAATAGAGAAAGATGGAGCCCTGCAGGGGCTGCGAGGGCTGAGAGCTGCTGCAGGATGAAGTCAGGGTGGAAGTGAGGGTGTCCTCAGAGCTGTGCCAGCAAATTTAATAGTGTCTGCCCCACTGCAGTCCCACTGGTCAGCTCAGATGCTTTTCTTCAGGAGGGGCTCCGGCTAAGGAGTGTGACCTCTTGTGGCAGCCTCCCCTGTGGCTATGGAGCTGCAGAGTTGGCCTTTTTGGGGCCACCCTCCAGACCCAGACTGCTTGCTTCCCAGTCCCATGCCTGGCAAACCAGGCTTCACTGCTAGAACAGGACAGACTCCCAGGCCAGGTCCCAGCTCCTTCACAGGGAAACAGGCGGAGAAAGAGGCCAGACTGGCATGGCAGGTCTTTTGTGCCAACACTATCATCTGCAACTCAGGCTCAGAAACACAGGCCAGAGGGCTGGCCTCTTGCTCAGGCCAGACTGTGTTGGGAAACACCCTGGCCTGTGGCCCTCCATCCTGTCACCCGTGACCAACTCTTATGCCCCACACAACAGCGCTCCCTCCACACCCCAGGCCAGTCTCAGGTCCGTGTGCAGCAGTCCTCAAATGCCCAACAGGAAGACCTCATCCCCAGTCACTCACGCCACCTGGGCAGGGCCTGCCTCGTGACTGACTCACTCCAGCCCCAACTATGTACACTGAATGGTGAGACAAACCACCACCTCGCCATTCTCACGCAAAAATATGACTTTCTGCCAAGATGATGTTCACAATAAAGGATAATGTAAACCACAACTGGGCGGGGCTGAGCTCAGTCAAGGAAGGGAGGAGGCAGGCTGATGGCAGGAGGAGGGTAAGGGGCCACTTACCCTTTGAGCCAAGGGGCAGGGAAGGATTCTCCTGCTGGCCTGAAAGAGAACACACAGCCTGAGGTCAGCTCACAGCTCCCATTCCACAGAGCGGCCATAGGGGATCCCCTCAGCCAGGGCCTCCATGGGGAGCTCTTTTTGAGGGACTTTATTCCAGCTCTTCTGGGGCTTAGAGGCCTTGCCGCCCTGGTGGGCCCAAGAACAGCATTTCCAAGGCCTTCATATTTTAGGGATGGGGAGATGGCCCAGGGTCCTCAAGGGCAGGGTTTCCTGGGCTGAGGGGCCGCAGACTCACGGAAGCAGCGGAGCATGCAGGCCTCCTCAGAGCGGTAGCTGTTCTTATTGCCCCGGCAGCCTCCATAGATGAAGTTATTGCAGGAGTTCCTCTCCACGTCAAAGTACCAGCGTGGGAAGGACGCACGGCAAGGTCCAGTGACCGCCTTGGCGGCACAGTATTCTGGGAGCAAGACAGCCCAAGGAACACAAATTAGTAGGGCCCGCAAGGAGGGGAAGCAAGCCAGAAAGTGCCTGAGGAGGCTCGCAGCTCCAGCTGACGGAGAAACATCTCTGGTAGAGAAGCCTGTAAATTACACCCAAGGCCAGCGCAGCGGCTCTGACGCGCTGCCCCACGGGTCCAGATGGCGGCTTCAGAGCTTTGAAGACTGCTCTCTGCCAGGTCCCGTCCTAGGCCTTTTACGTGCAGTGGCTGCGTCTCTATGAGACCTGTCTGGGGCCCTTCACTTTATATGTGGGAACACTGAGGCAGCGTGGCAGCCATGGAGGCGGGGCGGCAGCCACTTGCCCACAGCCAAGCCGCTAGTGAGAGGGGCAGGGACAATGGACATCCCAGAGCCACGCACCAGGCTGTGCCTCTAAAGTGCATCTCCGCAGGCTCGGCCTCCTTCCTGCTGGTGGGGGCATCCACATGGGGCCTGTTACCTTGACTCCAACCCCAGGGGGCTGCCACCACCTACGAGGGGAGCCCTGCGCTACAACTTCCTCAGTGGAAATCCGCAAGTGTCTCTCAATACCCAACTAAAAATACATGTTTTGCCCCACATGTAAGTTTCTTCGGAGTTTTTTTGTTTTTTGAGACGGAGTCTCACTCTGTCGCCCAGGCTGAACTGCAGTGGCGCAATCTTGGTTCCTTGCAACCTCCACCTCCCAGGTTCAGCAATTCTCCTGCTTCAGCCTCCCGAGTAGCTAGGACTACAGGTGTGTGCCACTATGCCCAGCTAATTTTTTGTATTTTTAGTAGAGACAGGATTTCACTGTGTTAGGATGGTCTCGATATCCTGACCTCGTGATCCGCCCACCTCAGCCTCCCAAAGTGCTGGGATTACAAGCATGAGCCACCGAGCCCGGCCTCTTTGGAGTTTTACCTTCATAGTTGAACATATCGCTGGAGTGGTCATCAGAATCCTGCCTTCTGGGAACTGAAACACAAACATCTGTGTTAGGGAGGCTGGGCTGGACATAGGACATGGGCCTAGCTGGGGCTGGGTCTGGAAGGGCCCACTGAGGAGTGTGGACACCACACCTTTAAAGAGGGATGTGGAGCCCCTTCCATTGCTGGCTCTGCCGCGTCACCCCATCCCTAATTGGCTCTACGCACACACTGAGAGTGCTGGATGAGGCGGCCCTGCCGCCACCTCAGGGTTCCTATAGAAACCAAGCCCGCCATAGCTCCTAATGTGATAAGGAACACAGTCTTGTTCACACTTTCTAATACAGTGAGGGGCACATGTTCTGCTCCAACAGGATGGAAACCAGAGCAGGCGTGCGGCGGGGCTAGCAGAGGATAAACGGAGCCAGGCAGAGCAACGCCAGGACAGGCATGGGACTCCTGGCCTAGCAAAGCTGGAAAGTGACCACCCTAACGCCCCAGCATTCTGTAAGCCAGCCAGCCCAAGAGCTGCTGAGCTACAGAGCACTCAGTGGGTTGCAGCTGATGAGGGAGTCCCATCCTCCAGCAGGGGTGCGATGCAGTCCCCCCTCCATGGCCGCCTCCCAGAGCCCACGGCCTGAGGCCTGACCCGAGGGTGCATCTGCTACCTGGTAGTGCATCGGGACCACTCACCCCAAGCGCCCGATGCAGAGTCCTTAAACCATAAAGGAGGAATGGGGCAGCGGCCGCCAGTACTACAAAGCAAGCTAACACACATCTTGAGATCATGCACTGCAGTGGCGGGGAGGCAGGGGTGGCAGAGGACAGAGGATGTCCACAAGGAAGGGGACAGCGATGGCAACAGGGAACAAAGGAAGCAGAGGAGGCAGAACAGGCAGACAGAAGGGTGGGTGGGGAGTGGGGCCAGCAGAGCAGCTGGAGGCCCGCACAGCAGGGAGGGGCCTGAGCCTCATGGGCAGCAGCAACCTCCATCCCCTGTCCTCCAGGAGGCGGCGGGGGCCAGCCAGGGAGTGCTGCAGGATCCCTGGCCCCTGTGCCCGCTGGACAGTGTAAACTCCCCCATGTAAGGACGCCGGAGCCAGAAGCTGGCAGCCCAAGCAGAGCCCCCGGTTTGCCAATTTTGAGTAAACAGAACCATGAGAGGGAAGCCTGTGACAGTTCCCAAATGACAAGTGTCCTTTCACAATGACCCATCCGGTGGCCTCACTCTATCGCGGGTCTCTTTAAGAACCTACCACTTGGGACAGAGGAATCTGCTGCATTCCTGCTGGTGGCCAGGTCACCTGTGGCATTCTCTGCAAGGAGACAAAGAAACAGCATAGTGAGACAGTGCTTCTGAGACTGCCGGGGACAAAGAATGAGCTGGCCCTGTGTGCCTCTCACCACAGCATCCATTTCTCCTTTACATAGGACCTTCAATGTGCGTGCCAGACCACACTCGGAAATGAGGAAGCAAGACTGCCTCCTGAAGAGGAAACTTAAGATCAACTTGCAGGGAATCAAAGCAAAGATGCACACAGTGACCTCAAAAAGACAGTGACTTGGCCGGGTGTGGGGGCTCATGCCTGTAATTCCATTACTTTGGGAGGCCAAGGCGGGTGGATCACCTGAGGTCAGAAGTTCGAGATCAGCCTGGCCAACATGGTGAAACTTATTAAAAATACAAAAGTTAGGGCCGGGTGTGGTGGCTCACGCCTGTAATCCCAACACTTTGGGAGTGAGGCGGGTGGATCACGAGGTCAGGGATTGAGAACATCCGGGCCAACACTGCGAAACCCCGTCTCTACTGAAAATACAAAAAATTAGCCGGGTGTGGTGGCGCACGCCTGTAGTCCCAGCTACTTGGGAGGTTGAGGCAGGATAATTGCTTGAACCCTGGAAGTGGAGGTTGCAGTGAGCAGAGATTGCACCACTGCACTCCAGCCTGGACGACAGAGTGAGACTCCGTCTCAAAAAACAAACAAACAACCCAAAAAGTTAGCCAAGCGTGATGGCAGATGCCTGTAATCCCAGCTATTTGGGCGGCTGAGGCAGGAGAATTGCTTGAACCCGGGAGGCAGAGGTTGTGGTGAGCCGAGATCGCACTACTGACCACTGCACTCCAGCCTGGGCAACAAGAGCAAAACTCCATCTCAAACAAGGAAACAAATAAAACACAGTGACTTCCAGGGCCAAATAATCTGCTTAACTGTATCAAATCATCTAACTAATTCAACTGTAATCCCAGTGCTTCGGAAGGCTGAAGGGTGGGGGGCATCACTTGAGGCCAGGAGTTTGAGAGCAGCTTGGGCAACATAAAAAGACCTCATCTGTTTGTGAGGGGGAGCGGGAACAAAACACTTTTTTTAAGGGTTAACATGATGAATTTTACACAGCGTTTATTTTATGTCCTACACCTTGTCCAAGACGGAGGGAACCCTGGTTCCCCTGCATCCTCGGGCCTGGCCTAGCCTGATGCTATTAAACGGTCACCTTGCAAACCAGCTCCCCTCATTCTGCCTCTCTCCATCAAGCAGTCTTCTGACAACTGGACTCGAGACTTGCCTATGCGGACTACAGACGCGGGCCTGGGGACATGAGTGCCTGCTCCCCGGGGCGGTCCCGGTTCTCATGATGAATTAATACACTGGCATTCTCATTCTCACTTGCCTTCCCACAGAGCCTGCCTGGGAGAGAATATGCTGGCAAAGGACCCCAGGCACTAGCAACCCTGGCAGTGTTTAGCTCTTTACAGACTCACATGGGAGCGCCTCAAGAGACAGTCAGATGCCAATATGTGCTTTCTGGACCTGCGAGACAGGGCCAGACTCTAGGGAGACAGCTAACCTGCCTGCTCCCAGGAACACACAGCCACCCACATCCCCTGGCTATGCTCACTGTCCACTGCCTGAGTTCTCAACACTTCAACTTCCTTCCTGAGGAGATAAGGAACAGCCAGGATGGACACATACATTTGCTAAAGGCAACTCTTGACTGGGATAGCTCAGAAAAGGTAGCAAAAAATATTTCTCCCAAGTCCTCCTTCATAATGAATCATAGTTGATGATAGAAATACAGTAACTGGGTCAATGATGGCTCACAGACACAACGTTAAGTCACCAAAAAAACATGTTAGGGACAGTGCCACTGAAAATATTTTTATTTATTTTTTACTTAAAGGCCAGTGTAATTGTTTGTTTGTTTTTTCAGTTAAAGTGAAATGTTAGCTGGGCTCAGTGGCTCACACCTGTAATCCTAGCACTTTGGGAAGCGGGCAGATTGCTTGAGCTCAGGAGTTTGAGACCAGCCTGGGTAACATGGTGAAACCCCACCTTAACAAAATACACAAAAATTAGCCAGGTGTGGGGGTGTGCGCCTGTAGTCCCAGCTACTTGAGAGGCTGAGGCACGAGAATCACTCGAACACAGGAGGCGGAGGTTGCAGTGAGCCAAGATCACACCACTGCACTCCAGCCCGGTGGGCGACTAAGCAAGAAAAAAAGAAAAAAGTGAAAATCTTTAACATAGGATTTGGATGGCCAAACCCTTGGGTCTCTGGAACACTTGGGATGGAGCAGCCCCAAAGGGCCAACGTCTCATCACCATCGGCTCTCAGGAAGTCCTTGTCACTCAGCTGAGAGCCAGGGCACACTGCTGGGGGGTTTAGGTTTTAATTTAAACTGTGAGGTTGTCAGGGTCAAAATTACCTTGATTCCACAGAACCCCTGGCAGGTGAGGGCCACAAAGAGGATAGATTCCAGGACGTATGTTTGTTTTAACTTGATCCATAACTTGGCTGGGTGAGCTATTCAAGTCATTTGTCCCACAATTAAAATAACCCAAACAGCAGCCAGGCGCGGTGGCTCACACCTGTAATCCCAGAACTTTGGGAGGCTAAGGCAGGCAGATCACCTGAGGCCAGGAGTTCGAGACCAGCTTGGCCAACATGGCGAAATCCCATCTCTACTAAAACTACGAAAATTAGCCAGGCATGGTGGTAAGCACCTGGAATCCCAGCTGCTCAGGAGGCTGAGGCTGCAGTGAGCTGAGATTGCTCCACTGCACTCCAGCTTGGGCAATAGAGCAAGACTCTGTCTCAAAATAAAATAAAATAACCCAAATACCCAGGGAACAAGAGGGGCAGCCCTGTTGGAGTGGATCAAAAAGCCTCTGCTCAAGAAGGCAAGGCTACTTCCTCATCGGTCTGCTCTGAAACTTGCACTTAGTAAAGAGGGAGAAAGGAAGCTGGGTCATGATGGCTCCAGCTCTGCCCTGTTGTTTTGCTGCCTTTCTGGGAAGCGGAGGAGTGAGGGTCTGCTGTGAAACCACTGTACGGCCACAGGGCATTCATACGGTGCCTGTTTCTTCTGCTTTTTAAAACATCGCCCAGATTCCACTGTCAAGAACTAATAAAGAGAGGAAAGTATCCACATTCCAGTTAATAAATTGTCTCTAAATAGCAAAATCTGGCTGGGCACAGTGGCTCACACCTGTAATCCCAGCACTTTAGAAGGCCCAGGTGGAAGAATTGCTTGAGGCCAAGAGTTTGAGACCAGCCTGGGTAACATAGGGAGACCCATCTCTATAAAAAATTTCAAAATGAGCAAGGTGTGGTGGCGTGTGCCTGTAGTCCCAACTATTCAGGAGGCTGAGGTGGGAGGATCTGCTTGAGCCCAGGAAGTGGAGGCTGCAGTGAGACCCTGTTTAAAAAAAAAGCAGGGGCCAGGCATGGTGGCTCACGCCTGTAATCCCAGCACTTTGTGGGGCCGAGGTGGGTGGATCACGAGGTCAGGAGATCGAGATCATCCTGGCTAACGTGGTGAAACCATGTCTCTATTAAAAACACAAAAAATTAGTTGGGCGTGGTGGTGGGTGCCTGTAGTCCCAAATACTTGGTAGGCTGAGGCAGGAGAATGGCGTGAACCCAGGAGGTGGAGCTTGCAGTGAGCCGGGATTGCACCACTGCACTCCAGCCTGGGCGACAGAGCAAGACTCCATCTCAAAACAGGAAAAAAAAAAAAAAAAAAAAAAAAAAAGCTCTAACTACTACTGTCTTACCTGTAACAGCGGCACATTTCTTGAGGCACTCCTCCTTGCTCATGTAATTATTGCTGTTTCCATCACAGCCCCCATACACAAACAGCTGGCAGGATCCGTCAGTGACATTGTACCACCACCTAGGCATGGAGGCCCGGCATCTGCCCACCACCTTCGACACTAGACAAAAGTCTGAAATGCAAAGCACAATCCCGTTAGCTTGGCAGGGCAATCCTGGCAATGAAGGACACACACAGACCTGTACACAGATCCCCGAGGGGAACCAGAGCCTTGAGTTCCAGCAGTTCCTTTGTGAGCTGTTTCCCAAGCCCAGATCGCCAACAGGCCCACTCAGTGCTTCCTTCCTTGTATAAACACGTCGCCCAACAATAAAGACACCAACCCACCCACTGAACTGTATTTCAGTTGTATGTTTTGTCCCGTCCCCATTATTGAAGACATGCACATCCAGTGTAGAAACATGACTTTATTTATTTATTTATTTTGGAGACAGAGTCTCACTCCATCGCCCAGGCTGGAGAGCAGTGACTTGATCTCAGCTCACTGCAACCTCCGCCTCCCAGGTTCAAATGATTCTTTTGCCTCACCCTCCCGAGTAATTGGAATTACAGGCATGCGCCACCATGCTGGGCTTTTGGTTTTTTTGTACTTTCAGTACAGATGGGGTTTCACCATGTTGCCCAGGCTGGTCTTCAACTCCTGAGCTCAGGTAATCCGCCTGCTTCGCCTCCCAAAGTGCTGGGATCACAAGCACAAGCCACCATGCCCAACGGAAACATGACTTTAAAAAAAAAAACAGGCCGGGCGCGGTGGCTCACGCCTGTAATCCCAGCACTTTGGGAGGCCGAGGCGGGCGGATCACAAGGTCAGGAGATTGAGACCACGGTGAAACCCCGTCTCTACTAAAAATATAAAAAATTAGCCGGGCGCGGTTGTGGGCGCCTGTGGTCCCAGCTACTCAGGCTGAGGCAGGAGATTGGCCCAGCTACTCAGGCTGAGGCTGAGGCAGGAGAATGGCGTGAACCCGGGAGGCGGAGCTTGCAGTGAGCCGAGATCGCGCCACTGCACTCCAGCCTGGGATGGGCGACAGAGCGAGACTCCGTCTCAAAAAAAAAAAAAAAAAAAACAAAACCCCTGACTCCAAGACCCTTCTGGATACTGCCCCATCCCACAGGGCCAAGGGGAGCTTAGCGCTGAAAGGTCAGAGCCGGAGAAGTGAGCTTGGGAAGGAGAGGCGCTATCAGCGCCCTCGGTAGTCCTCACATGCACTTTTCCTGACCTTTCCTGTCCACTCTCTGCCCAGGCAGCACCGAACACTCCAATTACTGCAAGAGCCTCAGAAGGAAGCTTCTTCTTTTTTTTTTTTTTTTTGAGACGGAGTCTCGCTCTGTCGCCCAGGCTGGAGTGCAGTGGCACCATCTCGGCTCACTGCAAGCGACGCCTCCCAGGTTCACGCCATTCTCCCGCCTCAGCCTCCAGAGTAGCTGGGACTACAGGCGCCCGCCACCATGCCCGGCTAATTTTTTGTATTTTTAGTAGAGACGGGGTTTCACCGTGTTGGCCAGGGTGGTCTCGATCCCCTGACCTTGTGATCCGCCTGCCTCAGCCTCCCAAAGTGCCGGGATTACAGGCGTGAGCCACCGCGCCCGGCTAGAAGGAAGCTTCTTAACTCTAGTGCCTACAGCCCAGCCCACGGCTCCAGAGATAACACAGGTCCTACCCCTGCGCCAAGGCTTGTTATAGCTCCTATCTGGGCACACCAAGATGGGCCTGGGTTTCAAGGCACCCTCAAATCTGGCCCTACTTTAGTAAAAGCGAACAAAAGCCAATATTATAAAATTCTAGCCAGAAACATTTCTTGCAAAAGGTTGGTACGGTCTCTTGAAAGGGAGACAGAAAATTGCTAGAAGCATCACCTGCACCAAAATAAGCCTTTCCACCAGAAGGACTGAAAGCAACCTGAAAAGAGACAGCCTGGCTGTGTGGCTCCGCATCTGCTCCTGTACCACATTATCACCCCTCCCTAACCCTGGCCTTTACCCAGCTCCGCCTGTTCAGCACAAGGGCATTCCAGCTTGCACGGGGCCTGGCACAGGGTGCTTGATAAACATGTCTCCAATAAAAGCATCCCACAGCCAAACGCTTGCTTAGATGTTGTCATTGACTCCTCGCTACTTGTTTTCATGTTTGTTAGGTTTATTTCACCCACTAGGGATATATCTTCTGTTGTGTCTCCCCAAATATGTCACAGTGATGGGCATGAAACCAGATGTTCCACAGAACACTAATCAACGGATAAAAAAGGTTGCTACTGTGCAAAACAAACACACACATACATGCCTCCAAGGAAATCCCACCCACACAATAAATCACAGGTAAGTAGCACAGCAGAAAAAGCATCTTCTGAAGCACGAAATTCCCTATCATTTGAAAAAAGCTAACCCTGAAAAGTCACCCGTTAGAATGTACCTTATCTAGACACTTCATATGAATGGAAGTGTACAGTATGTCCATAAAAGGCAAATCAATAGACACGGGAAGTAGATGAGTGGTTGCTTGTTACTGGGGGTGGGACTGGGGAGTGATGGGTAAAGGGATCTTTAGGGGATGATGAAAATGTTCTAAAATTGGATTGTGGCAATAGCTGCACAGCTCTGTAGAAGGTGCTAAAAATCCTTGGATGATAATACTTAAAACGAGTGATTTTAGGATGTATAATTTTTTTTTTTTTTTTGAGACTGAGTTTCACTCTTGTTGCCCAGGCTGGAGTACAATGGCATGATCTCGGTTCACTGCACCTCCGCCTCCCGGGTTCAAGCTATTCTCCTGCCTCAGCCTCCCAAGTAGCTGGAATTACAGGCATGCACCACACCTGGCTAATTTTGTATTTGTAGTAGAGACGGGGTTTCACCATGTTGGCCAGGCTGGTCTCGAACTCCTGACCTCAGGTGATCCGCCCATCTTGGCCCCTCAAAGTGCTGGGATTACAGGTGTGAGCCACCGCACCTGGCCTATATAAGTGTTTTTGAGATAGGGTCTTCCTCTGTCACCCAAGCTGGAGTGCAGCTGCAGGACCATGGCTCACTGAAGCCTCGCCTCCTAGGCTCAAGTGACCCTCCCACCTCAGCCTCCTGAGTAGCTGGGACTACAAGCAGAAAAAAAAAATTTTTTTTTTTTAAATAGGGGGAACTTTTGTCCATTACACATCAACCAGAACCAGCTGGCTGTACACCTGGAATAGGTACAATATGCCAAAGGTCACAAAACAAATAATCAACAACGTCCAGAGAAAACAGCAGGAGGAGGTCCTCCGGTGTGTGACTCTACCCAGCCCAACACTGGGAGCAACACTGCCACCAACAAGATGAGATGAAGGGGACCCACGTGGGACCCAGTTACAATCCAAAGCTGAAAACAGCATCAAGGCAGGAGCGCCCAATGGCTACAGAGGTGCCAGCAGCCTCTCCACTGCCCTGCCACGCTGAGCCCTGGCGGCCAGCCACTCTGGCTGCTTTGTGTCCTAGCTTCCTGAGCAGTGTCAGACACAGTCTTTTTCCACAACAAACCTGAGGGGAATATTGTACACCTTAAATGGGTGAATCACATGACATGTGAATTACATCTCAAAACAAAAATAATAACCTGAGGGAGGGCCCACAACACCGGGCGCCCAGGCAGGAACCAGGAACCACCCGACACCACACCTGAGAATGAAGCAGGGTAACCCACAGTATCATGGCAGGAATTCGTTAACTTCGTAAGCAAGGGTGCCAGGTACACGTGGCATGTGCAGACACCCGAGGGTGTGTAGAAGGAGAAAAAGTGCCTATCGAGGGACGGATGGAAGCTACCTTGGTGAATTCAACCCTGCCCGCAACCTGGCCATCATCTTTATAGGCGCAGACATGCACTCTTGCCAGTGCCCTAGTGCTTAGGAGACACAGGAGCGCTGGCCTCAGCTAACAGTGCACGGGATGATACATGAGACCTTAGCAGCAGGTGATGAATTTACAGTGAGAACATCACTGTATTCTGTCAAGCAGGTTGCGTGTTGATGTGAATCAGCAAAACACCTTGGAAAGCAAGCGTCAATGGAACACGATGCTTGGAGTCAGAATAAAGTTAGTTTACTGTATGATTCCTAGGAACATTCTTGCCATCGGAATCTGTCAGGCAGACCAAATGCTCACATTAGCGGCTCAGGACAGCTCTTCCAGAGCACGGTCACGAGCTGTCCCTGAGATGCTTCCTTTCCGGGCTGCTGCTGTGAGCCAGCGCCTTTTCTAGCTTGGACGCTTTCTGTCCACATGCCGGGCCCTTCATGACAAGTCTTGCGAGCCTGGGAAGCCATTCTGTGTCTAGGCAGTTGCTCACATCTGCTCTAAATATCACACGTTGACTTAGTAGTTTAAAGTTTCAGAAAGCAGCCTTATTTTCAGGTTCCTTGGGTAAAGTAGGAAGGAAAGGCAGAACTTCACTGTTGTCCCGGGAAAATTTAGAAACATCTCTTTACGGCCAGGCACGGTGGCTCACGCCTGTAATCCCAGCACTTTGGAAGGCTGAGGTGGGCGGATCACCTGAGGTTAGGAGTTCAAGACCAGCCTGGCCAACATGGTAAAAGCCCGTCTCTAACTAAAAATACAAAAATTAGCTAGGCATGGTGGTGGGCACCGGTAGTCCCAGCTACTCGGGAAACTGACGCAGGTGAATCACTTGAGCCCGCGAGGCGGAGGTTGCAGTGAGCCAAGATCTTGCCATTGCACTCCAGCCTAGGTGACACAGCAAGGCTCTGTCTCAAACAAAAAAAAAAAAAAAGAAAAAAGAAAAAAAAAGAAAGTCTCTTTAGTAAGAGAAAACTTGGACTAAAAACATGTCTGAAAGACAGATGTTGGTAGTTGTTGAAGCTGGGTGATGGTGCATGGGGGTTTATAAAACGTGTCAGTGCTTTGTATATTGAAAATTCTTATAATGAATTTTTTTTTCCTTTAAGATGGAGTTTCACTCTTGTTGCCCAGGCTGGAGTGCAATGGTGCAATCTCGGCTCACTGCAACCTCCACCTCCCAGGTTCAAGCGATTCTCCTGCCTCAGCCTCCTGAGTAGCTGGGATTATAGGCATGCGCCACTACGCCCACTAATTTTGTACTTTTAGGAGAGACGTGGTTTTTCCATG